ACACGACACACACTCGACACTTACCGACGGACTTGAGGTCGTCGAGCATGGCGTCGGCGCGCGCTCCCATCTGCTTGCGGTGGTGGGTGCGCAGGTCGACTCCCTCGCGGGGCAGGGCGGGCTGCAGGATGAAGGGGAGCCACTTGACCTGCGGAAGGAGGCGAGGCGCGGACATCAATACTCGGGTCCCGCTGGCGCGAGTGTGCCGTGCATGCGTGGTGGTGAAGAGGGATGAACCTCGAACTCGTACTGGTCCGAGTGCCGGGCAATGGCCTGCTCGAGCCTCCTCTTGCCGATGAAGCACCTGGGGGCCAACACGTGATAATGTGCGTTTAGCGATTAAATGAAAATAAAATTATCATCTATCGCAACAGCACAATCACGCGCTAACAAAACAAACTAGAATGAAGGGAGGGAAAATCACCAGGGGCAGATCACATCCGAAATCACCTTGATCGAGACCTTGAACTTCTGGCCCTCCATCACTTCCAAAAAATAGAAAAAGAAAAAAGAAATTCAATTGACCAATAATCTTTTATTGCATTTACAACATTTTCCTGCGGCCGACGCAACGTTGGCAAAGCTACGCAGACTGCTCTCCCTCGGTACTGGGAAATTGGCAAGTCTTTTCGTCTTGAAGGATTGGAAACAGTCTAACCAAGACCCCCACGTCGCCAACACGCCAGACGGCACCGGCATTCAGCTGGCGAACGGCGCTATGAACTTCAACGGGCCCGCTTAAAATCGTCGCCTCCGCCGCTGGTACAACAAACCAGCAAACGCGCAATTAGGCCCAAAGTGCGGTGATAGTGTGCACCATCTGATCTCCTGTGTGGGGGTGCTGCGGGTGGCGCAGGAGTCGGGATCCATGTCATCGCGACAACTTTGACCACCCAAAGCACAGTCACGGTGTTCTCGGGCACCGCAGGTACTCGAAATCGAGACGCTAGATGCGGGTGCTTGCAGTGATCGGTCTGACCTCTTCGTCCCTCGCTGCGTCGTTAGGTGACTCACAACTGGCCGGCAACGCCATGCAACTCGGCTTGGGCGGCCACGTCGTGGCCAATGGCCCCCTGGTGCTGCATACACAGGGATCCAGTACGTCCCACAGCAAAGCTGTTTGAGACTTAGATGTGGCGCAGATCACCACATTCTCTTCGCTGCAAGAAACCCGGTGCCCTAATTACGATCCCTGGCCCCCAGCAAACCCAGGCATCTACCATAACGGGGCGGGAGGCTCGTGGGAGAGCAACGCCAAGGTGGAGATACAATCAGCATTTTGACTACTGCCTATAACATATCCCCTCGCTTTACTTGCCCCAACACCACAAGCTTGCCTTGCGCGACTGCTTGCCGTCCGTGTTTGGTCGGGCGACATTAGCCTGGGGCCTGCTCTTCCGGCTCTTCTTGTTCTTGATCTTCTTTTTGATCTGGCCAGCCAGGCGATCCAGGTAGGGCACCTCTGCTCGGTTGGGTCGCTGCGGTGCGGCGGGGACTTGGGCAGGACTGCGACTGGTGTGGCTCATCATGGTGTGTTGCATGTCGGCTTGGCGCTGCCACACCTCCTGAATCGACTCCTCTAATCGTACGTTGTGCAGCAGCTTTTTCTTGTCGCTGGTCGCCATCGCTGTGGATTGTTCGTTGGCCTGGCGTGTGGAGGGAGAGAGTGTGGGCGGTGTTGTGGGAGATAGCGAAACTGTTGCAGACCCACTAAATGCTATAATGAGTCGACAGCAATATAGCCAATTGGGGCTTTATTTCATCGCCCTATTCCTATTCCTCATAATTCCCCCGAGAAAATGTAGCGCGGGCCAATGGCGCTATTCCTTCCATAATTCCCCCAAGAAAACATAGGTTTTAATGTAGTGTGGCCCAATGGAATTCCGCCCATAATTCGCCAACCATGATGTAGCCATTTCTACTCATTTTGCAGATCATGAGGCTGGGTACAGGGTGAAGTGGTGAGCTCAAGACAGGGACTTAGGTGATCAAAGTAGACTGAGGAAGCTGTACAGATACAGGCACTTTGGGATCTTATTTGGACACTATTGGTTGGCACCAGTGAAATATCAATTAATGTTGATGTTGGTGTGTGGAAAGTCAGTCTCTGGGCATACAATTTATGCTTGGGGCTTCCAGAAGTGCACAGTCCCTGTCTGCTGGAGTCTGAGGGGTCAATGACTGGGCATGCAATGACACCACCAACTCTGGCACCCAGGATGACAGCACCACTAGCTTGGAACCTCTGGCCAGATGAAATGTGAGCACAGTCCTTGGCTGGACAATGAGTTTGTGGTAATAAAAGTCAAAATAGTGCATCAATTAAAGTAATGTATAAGTTAAGTAAGTGAACAATCAATTGTGATGATTCTTTGTGAAGCTTATCTATTTGATTTAGCAAATTTTAGGGAAGTGTGTCTGATATTCAGAAGAAGGAATTTGGTGAAATTGAACAAATAGATAATAACTTATACATTACTTTAATTGATGCACTATTTTGATATTATATCTGGATAATATAATATGCAACCAGTTTCTGATGGGTGTTGTGATGTGAATCAGTAAGAGATGTAAGACATGTGGAGTTAAAAGTGATTTTATCAGTGTGGAATGGAGTGGAATTTTAACTTCAGGAATAGTGCTCCAATTCAGCACAAATGTGAAGAATGAAGTTCAGTCCATGTGTGCAACTGACTGAATATGGTGTGAGGTTGAACATGAACTGGATGTGAGGGCAGCATGTTGGCCACTGATTTTGGAATTGATGGAGGGTATGAAAGCAAAAGCAAGGTCCAGTTTGAGGTTGTTTAACACAAAACAAGCAAAGTTCTGATTTTCCAGATCATGTATGTGTATGTGATAAACTTAGCATTGGTAGGTCAAACATGTAGTCATTGTGTATGTGTATGTGATGAAGTAAGTGTCTGGTTTTATAGTTTTTGTTGTTGTGTATGCATAGGTGCAAGTCACCCTGCCATCAAGGAACTGTTGATGCTCCTGAAGGAGGTGACTGCCCCCATTGCATACATGCTATTATCAAAGCCCATTATGCTTTGAAACTGCAGGACATTCTATTGTGTACATGTATGTGATAGAATGTTTGCCAATATATCTCCTCCTTGCCCCACAGATCATGTGAAGATGAATGCTGCAACAATTTGATTTCAACTGAATGACAAAGAGCAGCTCCAGGCCACCCTCACAATGAGCAGCCACCTCCTCAGGAGGCCAAGAAGTAAGAGATGAAGGGCACTCTCCACACTGAGATGTGACAAACAGCCCCTCTGAATTGCTTGCGTAAAGAATAAAAATTTACTTTTTGTCCAGTTAAATCCCAGCAGCCATGATTTTTCTTTTTATGGTTTCTGTGTGCCAGCCGTTCAGGAAAGGACCGAAAAAAACGTGTGTGTACATGATAAAGTAAGTGTACCAAAACATGTACATGATAGAAATTGGTCATTCCAGACCTTGAGCTACACCATCATATCTCTCATTATGATGGTATTTTAATCTGCCATTTCTCAAGATGCTCCCATTTTTGTCTTACTATTCTTAAATTAAAACCATTTTTGTGTTGTCAAAACTATTTTTATGAGCTTAAACTCACAAACAAAATCACTTTTCAAAATGACTGGACCTCTCATTTCAAATGACTGCAAGTTTCCAGTCCCTTCACTCACTTAGCACCAAGTGGAAGACAAGTCAGCAGCAGCAACCACAGGTAGAGGTGCTTCATATCAGCATCCACCATCAGCCACCAGTGCTCACCTGTCTCTTGGCACACAGTAAAGGGAGTGCTGGCCCTAACTGTGGCCACAGTGGATCAGTAAAGTGCACCCTTTTCCCATTCATGTTGACAGTTTATTGACAGTTGGTATGCACCCTTGCAGAGAACATCAGAGGAGCACAAGGCCTCACTGCCCCATCGTTGCTTGGGGCAACTGCGCCCTTGGCGTCGTCTCTTGTTGTCTCTCTTTGTTTGTTTGCTGCGTGTTTTGAAGCTCCCTCCTTTGTGTTCTCTTGTTCGCCCTAATTGTGTCGACCGGCCTATTTCATATTTTTGATTTGATCATCAACGGTAGCAGTTCCCAACATCATCATCAAGGACGATCACATCCATCCATCTATCCTCACTGTGAGATCAGAAGAAAACGAAGCGTTCGAGAAACTAATCGAACACATAATCTGCGAGTAGAGCAGCATTGTTACCAATCAAAAACATTCACAGCGAGACGAGATGTTCAATAAGAAGGTGTCAGGCGACACCACCCCTGTCGCTCCCGACAATGAATCCGTACTCCCCATATCTTCTTCCTCCATGATCGAGGTCAGGAGTAGGATCTGTCTCCCTTCTCATCTCCCCTTCCATCTTTCTCCTTGGCCTCGTTTACAGTGGCACATCGATCCCAAGGAGATCGAGTTCACGGACCGGCTGGGCACCGGCACGTCAGCGCAGGTCTACAAGGGTACCAAGGCCCTCCCCTTCCAAACCCTTCTCGCTTCCCCCCCCCCTATTCCGGAAAGCGAAGCCCTTCTTTTTGCATTTATTATTTACGTTTATTATTTACGTTTATTATTTGCTTTTGGTGTTCTCTTTTGTGCGCGGCAGGGCGGTATAAGGGGAAGAGGTCGCCATCAAGATATTGAA